GCCGGGGCGGGCAGGCCAAGGTCACTAGGACAGACAGGCCCAGGTCACCGGGGCGGGTAGGCCAAGGTCGCCGGGGCGGGCAGGCCAAGGTCGCCGGGGCCAGTGGACCAGGCTGTGTCCAGGCGGGACAGCTCCGGCCTGTGCTCTGCTCTTCCCTGTCCAGCTCCTCCTCAGGTGACCTCCTTTCTCCCCTCCTCACCTTTGACCGTGCAGCTCTCTGAGGGTGGGTTTTGGGGTGAGAGTGAGGGCCAATATTTTGGGTGACCTTACTACTGCACGGGGTGAGCAAGGGGGCCTCGTGCGCCACCCCGGTTCCCCACAGTCTGGAGGGGAACACGCAGGCCCCCCCCAGGTTAGCCCTCATGTGAGCCCTGATGCTGGCCCCCGCTGGGGCGAGGCTCCCTCCAGGGCAGAGTCCGCTCGGGCCAGCACCCTGCTTCCCGCGTGGGGGCCGTGCTCCCGCAGCCACGCAGCCCGCTCACCTGCAGAGCCTGCAGGCCGCCCCGCAGCCCCGGGGGCGGGAGGGGCTCGCCGTTCCGGCGGCTGCTGGCTTCCCCGTCCTTTCTGGAGTTCAGGTCCAGGGCGAGGTTGAAGGTGTAAGTCCTGCGGGAGGAGGAAAGAGGCGCTGAGCTGGGAGGCCGCAGCCCCATCTGCCCTGGGGGCGAACCGGGGGCGCGGGGTTGGGGCACAGCCCGGCCACAACAGGCCCAGCAGCTGTGGCTGTCCGGCCTGTGCGCCGCCGGGCACAGCGGGCCGGTGTCCCCGGCAGTGCAGAGCCCTGACCCTGGCACCTCCAAATGGGGCTGTCTTTGGGGTGACTAAGTGAGGTCCCAGGGCAGCCCTGACCCACGGGGGGTCCGCAGGAGATGAGGGAGCAGGGCCCAGACTCCCAGGCACGCCGCTGCAGGGCCGCACCCCGGCGCCAGGGGAGAGGCCTGGACCTCGGCGCTGCAGCCCCAAGACGGGGAGACCAGGCACACCTGTCGAGGGAACCCCGAGTCCGGCGTCTCGTTCCAGCGGCCTGAGCCAAGCCCACAGCTTGCCTTCGACTTAGCTTTGAAAGCAGCCGAGGCACGCGGGGCCAGCTGGGCGCAGGCGTGCCAGGGTAGCGGCAGACGCGGGGGTGGGGAAAGAGGCACCGGGGCTGTGGGCACCACGGCGGCGGCCTGCGCACGGGGGCACACGGGGGATGCCAGCAGCGGTGGGGGGCCTCCGGGTCGGGCGCAGGGGCAGCGCACGGTAGCCGCAGCGGCTGCCCGCTCACCGCTCAGGCCGGACCCTCGCCGCTCCCCATGTGACTGTGTCTGACGCCTGGGGGCGCTCACATGGCTTTGCCCCGGATGCGGGGGTGTCAGAGGACGCGCGGGGAGCGTGGACTTGGGTTCCTGCGAGTGGACGGGGGTGTGGACGCCCCTCCGCGAGGACGTGCGGGCCCCGGGCCGCAGCCTGAGCGACAGGAAGGTGCTGGTTTCCCCTTCCGGAGGGAGGCGGGCACCGCCCTCTGCGCTCCCCCCGCCAGCGGGGCCCCGAGTCTATAAATAGCAGCGGGGCCAGGCGGGGGAAGGCCGGCAGGACGCGGTGGGGCTGGGAGGGCCGGGGGAGGACGCCGGCGTCTTGTCTTGTCACACGGGGCCGTGCCCTGGCGGGGCCCCGCCACACAGGCGACACCCTGACGGTGCCCTGGCTGTTCCCACGGGTGAGGCTCAGCCGGGGAGCATGGACCCTCGGGCGGCTGACCAGGGCCCGGGCGGCCTCCACGCCTCTGGCCCGTCTCCTGGGTGGTGGGCGCCCACGGTGGGTGAGGGCGCCGGGGGTGCACGTGGACTTTGTTGTCAAGTGACCTGAAGGCTCTCGAGCCAGTGGTGTCCAGACTGGGCTGTTCTGGGGTGGAGATCCAGCCTCGGGTCAGTGGCAGCCCTCGAACCTGGAGACGCGCCCCAGGGCAGGCGGGCGGGTGGGCGCCCTCGGCGCACTGGCCACCTCCCCCGGGCACCGTCGGGCCTGCGGTCCCCGCCGCTGGGGTGGCAGTGCCCGGCATGACCCTGCGACTGGTGCTGCGGGGGCGTCCTGTCCACCCACAGACAGGCCATCTGGCCGCGTCCCACCTCCTGGCGCTGAGCGATGTAGGGGCTTTCGAGGACTGTTTTACGGCCTGAAAGGCTTTACGTGATTCATGAACACACTTTGGGCGGGTCAAGAAGAGGTTGCCCGGACAGGTCGGCTGAGGGTGGTGCTGGGTACGTGCTCGGTCACTCCGCCTCTGCCCCGCGCCCCCCACTGAGGGTGGGAGCAGAGCACGGCCAGCGGGCGCTAGCTGGCTCGTCCTGGCTGCCCTTTAGAAAGACCGGCTGGTGTCCTGGGGAGACGCGTCCCTGGACGTGGCCCAGGCGTCGGGCTCAGGGCTGTGTCGGGGCGGTGCTGGGCGCTGACGGGGAGGGCAGGTGAGGGCCACCCGGCCTGGCCACGCTGCGGCACGGAGCTCTGGCACATCAGGCGGCTTGCGAGGGCCCGGTGGGCCCACCTGGGGCTCAGGCGCTCGCCAGGCCCCGCCGCTGTCCCTGCTGTGCCTCGAGTGTCTGAGGCGGGCAGTGGACCGGGGTGGGCCGGGGTGGACCAGGGGGACTGGGGTGGTCTGGGTGGACTGGGTGGACCAGGGGTGGTCCAGGTGGACTGGGGTGGACAGTGGTGGACTGGGGTGGATTGGGGGGACTGGAGTGGGCTGGTGGGCTGGGGTGCACCGGGGGTGGTCCAGGTGGATGGGGGTGGACGGGGGTGGATAGGGGTGGACCGGGGTGGTCCAGGTGGACTAGGGTGGATGGGGGTAGACTGGGGTGGACCAGGGGGGGACTGAGTTGGACCAAGGTGGACTGGGGGTGGTCCAGGTGGACTGGGGTGGACCGGGTGGACG